CTGGTAGCAAGTGGCGGTTGATCTCCGATGATGGACATTAATTGTGTCCATTGGTGTTGTAATCTCTTCATGATATCCCAAGTAGCTTCCTCCAACACCACATTTCAAAGGCAGATATTGCCGAGCTTCCACCCTCCTTGACAATCATTGACCCAAGAACATTATATAAACTTGTCCACTTGATCAACTTCTTCTCCATCAACCACCATGCTCTGTTGCATGTAGTTAATTTCCACCAATCATGATCTTGGTCTTTTTCACATTGAGGTAGGGTCCAAATTATTCACTTGCATCCTTCACTCTTTTTTAAGGAGTTCTAGTAGTTCTTCTGATGTTCTTGTTATAAGTGTTGTCAGTGGAATACTGAGCAAAAACACTTAGAGGGGCAGAAAAACAATCTGCATCACCACCACTCTTACATGTTACATGCAGGCCCTGCGGAACTTTTTTTAAAGCGGGGTGGGGGGGGGGGGGTTGAAGTATTTACGATCAGGAAGAGAGGAGCGCAAATTGGCGTGGTGTTCAAGGGACACAGCCTTCGGAAGCTCAAGGGTTTCAGGCATTTATTAACTGTAAGATGAACATATTTTGATACCTCATTTCACCTCTGGTCACTTTCTTTCTTTCTTTCTAGTTCTCTTTAACATACTTTATACAAAAAGTGAGGAAGGCTCGAGTCCCCTGAGCCCCGCTGTTCTGCGGACCCTGACATGTAGGCTTTTAAATAAGCATATTTTTTGCTTGACTGTGGATTTAGGATTTGTCATTTTCCAACATACGCTTAACAAATAATAATTTACTAAAAAGTGAGAAAAAACCCAGGAAAATCATGTCATTTCAGCAACATTTGTAAATCACTGGTATCGAATATATAAAAAAAAAAACAGTTTGAATTTTGTTTGGGGGTTCAACTGTCCCCCCCCCCCCATACCCTTCCCCATTAATACGCCAGAGAGTGTTGTATTGTCGGCGTATCTTAGGTTGGTGATCGTTCGTCCACCAACAGAAACTTGACCATAAAATGCCTTTCTCATGATGAATTCAGCATAGATGTTGAAAATTTATGATGATAGGTTGCAGCCTTGACGGACAACTTGACCAATAGTAAACCTTTCGGTGTCGCCATTCTCTGCTCTTACTGTTGCTTCTTGGTATTGGTAGAGCGACTGGATGAGTTGAATTATATGTGCTGGAAAGCCCATCTAGCTCATAATCTTCCATAGGCGTTTATGTTGTACGCAGTCAAAAGCTTTGGAAAGATCAATAAAGCTAGGGAGAGAAGTTGTTGAAACGTGTCTCTAGTGTTGCTAACTTCACTATCTTTTCATGACAACAAACTACAGTTGATCGACATCATAATTATATGCGCGAGTCTGCAGGATGATTGGGTGCTCAGAAATAGGCAAAAGCACAAGCAGGCCTTTACCGTCAAGATGAGGTTCTTGTTGAAGTGATTCCAGTCAGTGATGTCATGCCAAGGAAAGGTCTTTCCACAACATAGTTATGATGAAGCAGGCAACATCAAAGAACAGCAAGCGATTGGAATTGATGCTAATGAGAAGATGTATGTTAGGGTCCTAGTGGATGACACAGACGTCTACGTACTACTTTTGCATCATTATCTACATGACGGACTTATAAAACGCCAATGAACATGGAGACGCCCCTTCACAAATCGAACTGTTAATGATGTTCCTGCCAATGTAGACAAGTTAGGAGATATCATTCCATCGATGTTGGCAGGACATGCGTTGACGGGATGCGACACTCTTGGGGCATACTTTGGCATTGGATAGGGTACAATGCTGAAAGTGATGAAGCAGAAGATTCGACTCCCTTAGGACTGAGTTGGCAATGTTGATGCAGTATGGTCATATGTCATCACTCAACCTACTCAATGCTTTGCTTCAGGTTATGGACAGTCAACAACCAACTGAATGTCAGAGGCTCGTATATCAACGTGTGGCTATCAAGGGTCCGAAGACTAGGAGCTCCAAATACCCCCAAACCTTGCCTCACTACCTCAAACTACTGAAGCGTTTGTAGAAAATGTTAAGAGAACTCATTTGCAAACATGCGTGTGGAAGCACGCATTACAGTCACGACCTTACTTTGCAGAATCAAGTGTTAAATGACACCCTCTTCCGCATGGAATATTTTAGGGTTCCCAACACTTTAAAGGGCTTTTAAACAAATTTCAAGATTTTGAAGCAAACTTATAAACGGATATAGTCCTGTATCGTAGTGGTAGTTCGTAATTTTTAGGTTAATTTAAAAGAATCTAGTACCTTAGAATACAAATCTAGTTTCTTAACGCTGTCACTGAAAATGGGCATTTATCACCATATGCCACCTCATATCTATGGGACAGAGAGCATAATATTCAACCGTGTTTTCTTCGAGTATCAAATTACAAAATAAAAATAAATGTGCAGCACAATCTTTGCTCACTGTATCCAGTGCATCTGACTCATGCCATATGATAATCTCATGTTAGAAATTGGTATTTGGCCATCATTTTGACCTATGCAAGTTAATGTGTCTATAGAGGGCGCCATTCCGAATTATGCAAATTTGCATATCATTTGTGATCATACAGCATCGCAATTTTTATTTAGTGATGATTCTAGAAAAAAATTAAGATATTTGACTGCCATTTAATGTAGTAAAATGCTGTTAAAACTTTTTATATCATTAATTTTGGTTAAAAAGGGGATTTTGGCGGCCATTTTGTATGACGTCACATATCTCAAATTGCTCAATGCTGACAGAGTGTCAGCAATCGAATTCTTCAAATTGATGGTCTAAAGGACTATAATCCGAAGAAAAAAAAACTATAGACCCTAAAACAAGGTATATCGAGATGGCTGCCGGACTACTCTGGCCAGGAAACTCACGCCGCGAAAGGCATACCCCCTCACACAATCGCTCGAATTGTAATAATCAGAATCATCAAATTAAAGAAAAAACGAAACTCGCCAAGGATGCCTTGGAAAGGGCGGCGCTACGAATGGCTAATTCAGATCTGGCCCAAAGTTGTCTTAGACTGTGGGGGCATCCTCCCGAGCATAGAGAAGACATTTCAGTGCCAGATGACCACTCACTGGCCAGGAAACTCACGCCGCGTAGGGCACACCCCCTCTCATAATCGCTCGAATTGTAATAATCAGAATCATCAAATTAAAGAAAAAACGAAACTCGCTAAGGATGCCTTGGAAAGAGCGGCGCTACGAATGGCTAATTCAGATCTGGCCCACAGTTGTCTTAGAGTGTGGGGGCATCCTCCCGAGCGGAGAAAACAAATTTCAGGGCCAGATGACCACTCACTGGCCAGGAAACTCACGCCGCGAAAGGCATACCCCCTCACAGGGGCGGCCGAGCGTCTTCCAAAGTGGGGCGGGGCACCAACAAAAAAGGGCACTTTCTAGAAAAAAGGGCACTCACAGTGGAAAATCTCAAAGCGAAAATATACCACTTTTTTAGACATTGGTACATGTATATCAGGGCTCAAATTAATTTGTTGTCCACGGGGGCTCTTCCAAAAAAAGAGCCCCCGTGAACCTTCTCACGAGGGCTCTTTTAGTACTGACGGGGGCTCTTTTTATACAAATATCCATTGAATTGCACCTATGAAACTCCTCAATTATTAGATATTTCATCATTTTCATTTTAATCAGCATTTTCCCTCTTACAAATTTATAAGCTACATATAGCTGTTACTGACTTTCATCCCGTGGTGACATTCTTTCGATTTTTTCCCGTTCTGCACATTATTTCCTCCTCATTATTCGGAGCAACCTTTACATTCTTTCTTTACTGAGCGATTTTGTGTGTGTGCCATTTTGTACAGGCGCGGATCCACGGGCCGATTCTACCGGCCCGCCCCCCCCCCCCCTAACCTCCCAAACTGGTAAACAAAAACAAAATAGGATAGTAACGTAAATTTTACCTTAAAAAATAAAATAAAAAACGCCCCCCCTCACCTGCCAGTGATACAAATGCGGCATCAAAATATTTGTGCTTCTCTGACCGTTATTAAATGCCTAAAACCCCTGAACCCCCCCCCCCCCACACACACACCAATTTACGCTTGCTACCCTCTACCTTATCGTAAATACTTAAGCCCCCCACTTTGATAAACGTTCCGCGGGGCCTGTGTATACGCATACAACACTGATCTTTATGTGAGGGAATGAGAAATAGCCCTTTCTTTATAATGCAAATTAGTCAGGGACAAAAGGAATGTACCTAAGGAGGAGTGATATGCCCCAGTGAACATACACTCACTGTATGCAGGTAAAAGCTCATACATGCAGTGAGCAGAGATGGGACTGGCTGTAGCTGTGCCTACATGAAGCTGTAATTGATGTCTCATCCTGATATTCTTGATGTATTTAGTTGATTTTGGACACCTTAATATGTGAGTACAGTATATTATTAACTCTCTAATGTTAAGATTGCTGAGGTGCTTGATTGGATAGATTATGATTTGTGTGAAGAAGAGGGAGATTTAAAGGGAAAGTCCACCCCCAAAATAAGTTTGTTTCGATAGAGGCAGAATAATAAGAAAATCAGGTGAGTGAAAGTTTGAGCAAATTCTGAATGAAAATAAGAAAGTTATGAATTATTGAAGTTGTGATCAATCAAATACAAATTGGCAACTCTGTGACTTATTATACGAGCTCTCCTTCATTTGCTTTGTGCATAATATTCCATAAAATCATGTTTTCTTCGTTATTGATGACGGAATATATATTTGTTCCTTGCAGGGGGAGTATAGAAACATATTTGCAATTATTATATTTAGGGTGCATGTATGGTTGAAATTTTTCTTGAGGGAAAATGAAAATTTTAGATTTTTTTAGTACTGAGCAAATGGAAGTTGAGCTCGCATGATACGTCATAGAGTTGCCAATTTGTGTTTGATTGATCACAACTTTAAAAATCCTAACTTCTTTATTTTTAATCGGAATTTGCTCAAACTTTCACTGACTTGTTTCTCTTATTTTTCTACTCCTATTAAAACTAACTTAATTTCAGGGTGGACTTCCCCTTTAAAGAAAAACGAAACTCGCCAAGGATGCCTTGAAAAGGGCGGCGCTACGAATGGCATATTCAGATCTAGCCAAAAGTTGCTTAGACTGTGACGGCCATCTTCCCGAGCATGGAGAAGAAATTTCAGGGCCAGATGACAACTCACTGGCCAGGAAACTGACGCTGCGTAGGGCAAACCCCCTCACATATTCCCTTGAATTATAATAATCAGAAAAATCAACTTAAAGAAAAAACGAAACTCGCTAATGATGCCTCGGAAAGGGCGGCACAACGAATGGTTTAAACAATTGAGACCGGGTAAAAAGATGTGTTACGCTGTGAGGGCCTTCCTCCCGAGCATAAAGAAGAAATGTCAGGGCCAGATGAAAACTCACTGGCCAGAAAACTGACGCCGCGTAGGTGCATTCCCCATCATATATTCGATCGAAATCAACTTAAAGAAAAAACGAAACTCGCTAAGGATGCCTTGGAAAGGGCGGTGCTACGAATCGCTAATTCAGATCTGGCCCAAAGTTGCTTAGACTGTGACGGCCATCTTCCCGAGCATGGAGAAGAAATTTCAGGGCCAGATGACCACTCACTGGCCAGGAAACTGACGCCCTTTAGGGCATACCCCTCACATAATCGCTCGAATAATCGCTCGAAATTTCAGGGCCAGATGACCATTCACTGGCGAGGAAACTGACGCCGTGTAGGGCATACCCCCTCACATAATCGCTCGAATTGTAATAATCAGAATAATCAAATTAATGACAAAACAAAACTCGCTAAGGATGCCTTGGAAAGGGCGGCGCTATGAAAGGCTTTAACCAAAGGATAGAGCCAGCAAAAGTCTTAGACTGTGGGGACATCCTTTTGAGCATAGAGAAGAAAATCTAGGGCCAGATGACCACTCACTGGCCAGGAAACTCACGCCACGTAAGGCATACCCCCTCGCATATTCGCTCGAATTGTAATAATCAGAATAATCAAATTAAGGAAAAACCCAAACTCGCTAAGGATGCCTTGGAAAGGGCGGCGCTACGAATGGCATATTCAGATCTAGCCAAAAGTTGCTTAGACTGTGACGGCCATCTTCCCGAGCATGGAGAAGAAATTTCAGGGCCAGACGACCACTCACTGGCCAGAAAACTGACGCTGCATAGGGCAAACCCCCTCACATATTCGCTTGAATTATAATAATCAGAAAAATCAACTTAAAGAAAAAACGAAACTCGCTAATGATGCCTCGGAAAGGGCGGCACAACGAATGGTTTAAACAATTGAGATCGGGCAAAAAAATGTGTTACGCTGTGAGGGCCTTCCTCCCGAGCATAAAGAAGAAATGTCAGGGCCAGATGATAACTCACTGGCCAGAAAACTGACGCCGCGTAGGGGCATTCCCCATCATATATTCGATCGAAATGTAATAATCAGAATAATCAACTTAAAGAAAAAACGAAACTCGCTAAGGATCATCGATGCCTTGGAAAGGGCGGCGCTACGAATGGCTTCAACGAATGAAATCGGACCAACAACAGTCTTAGACTGTGGGGCATCCTCCCGAGCGGAGAAAACAAATTTCAGGGCCAGATGACCACTCACTGGCCAGGAAACTCACGCCGCGAAAGGCATACCCCCTCACATGTTCGCTCGAATTGTAATAATCAGAATAATCAAATTAAAGAAAAACCCAAACTCGCTAAGGATGCGTTGGAAAGGGCGGTGCTATGTATGGCATATTCAGATCTAGCCAAAAGTTGCTTAGACTGTGACAGACATCCTCCCGAGCATAAAGAAGAAATGTCAGGGCCAGATGACAACTCACTGGCCAGGAAACTCACGCCGCGAAAGGTATACCCCCTCACATATTCGCTCGAATTGTAATAATCAGAATCATCAAATTAAAGAAAAAACGAAACTCGCTAAGGATGCCTTGGAAAGGGCGGCGCTACGAATGGCTTAAACGAATGAAATCGAACCAACAACAGTCTTAGACTGTGGGGCATCCTCCCGAGCGGAGAAAACAAATTTCAGGGCCAGATGACCACTCACTGGCCAGGAAACTGACGCCCTTTAGGGCATACCCCCTCACATAATCGCTCGAATCGTAATAATCAGAATAATCAAATTAATGACAAAACAAAACTCGCTAAGGATGTCTTGGAAAGGGCGGCGCTACGAAAGGCTTTAACCAAAGAGGTAAGGCCAGCAAAAGTCTTAGACTGTGGGGACATCCTTTTGAGCATAGAGAAGAAAATCTAGGGCCAGATGACAACTCACTGGCAAGGAAACTCACGCCGCGAAAGGCATACCCCCTCACATATCCGCTCGAATTGTAATAATCAGAATAATCAAATTAAAGAAAAACCCAAACTCCCTAAGGATGCCTTGGAAAGGGCGGTGCTACGAATGGCATATTCAGATCTAGCCAAAAGTTGCTTAGACTGTGACGGCCATCTTCCCGAGCATGGAGAAGAAATTTCAGGGCCAGATGACCACTCACTGGCCAGGAAACTGACGCTGCGTAGGGCAAACCCCCTCACATATTCCCTTGAATTATAATAATCAGAAAAATCAACTTAAAGAAAAAACGAAACTCGCTAATGATGCCTCGGAAAGGGCGGCACAATGAATGGTTTAAACAATTGAGACCGGGTAAAAAGATGTGTTACGCTGTGAGGGCCTTCCTCCCGAGCATAAAGAAGAAATGTCAGGGCCAGATGAAAACTCACTGGCCAGAAAACTGACGCCGCGTAGGTGCATTCCCCATCATATATTCGATCGAAATCAACTTAAAGAAAAAACGAAACTCGCTAAGGATGCCTTGGAAAGGGCGGTGCTACGAATCGCTAATTCAGATCTGGCCCAAAGTTGCTTAGACTGTGACGGCCATCTTCCCGAGCATGGAGAAGAAATTTCAGGGCCAGATGACCACTCACTGGCCAGGAAACTGACGCCCTTTAGGGCATACCCCCTCACATAATCGCTCGAATAATCGCTCGAAATTTCAGGGCCAGATGACCATTCACTGGCGAGGAAACTGACGCCGTGTAGGGCATACCCCCTCACATAATCGCTCGAATTGTAATAATCAGAATAATCAAATTAATGACAAAACAAAACTCGCTAAGGATGCCTTGGAAAGGGCGGCGCTACGAAAGGCTTTAACCAAAGGATAGAGCCAGCAAAAGTCTTACACTGTGGGGACATCCTTTTGAGCATAGAGAAGAAAATCTAGGGCCAGATGACCACTCACTGGCCAGGAAACTCACGCCACGTAAGGCCTACCTCCTCGCATATTCGCTCGAATTGTAATAATCAGAATAATCAAATTAAGGAAAAACCCAAACTCGCTAAGGATGCCTTGGAAAGGGCGGCGCTACAAAATGGCATATTCAGATCTAGCCAAAAGTTGCTTAGACTGTGACGGCCATCTTCCCGAGCATGGAGAAGAAATTTCAGGGCCAGATGACCACTCACTGGCCAGGAAACTGACGCTGCGTAGGGCATACCCCCTCACATAATCGCTCGAATCGTAATAATCAGAATAATCAAATTAATGACAAAACAAAACTCGCTAAGGATGCCTTGGAAAGGGCGGCGCTACGAAAGGCTTTAACCAAAGAGGTAAGGCCAGCAAAAGTCTTAGACTGTGGGGACATCCTTTTGAGCATAGAGAAGAAAATCTAGGGCCAGATGACCACTCACTGGCCAGGAAACTCACGCCACGTAAGGCATACCCCCTCGCATATTCGCTCGAATTGTAATAATCAGAATAATCAAATTAAGGAAAAACCCAAACTCGCTAAGGATGCCTTGGAAAGGGCGGCGCTACGATTGGCATATTCAGATCTAGCCAAAAGTTGCTTAGACTGTGACGGCCATCTTCCCGAGCATGGAGAAGAAATTTCAGGGCCAGATGACCACTCACTGGCCAGGAAACTGACGCCCTTTAGGGCATACCCCCTCACATAATCAGAATAATCAAATTAATGACAAAACAAAACTCGCTAAGGATGCCTTGGAAAGGGCGGCGCTACGAAAGGCTTTAACCAAAGGATAGAGCCAGCAAAAGTCTTACACTGTGGGGACATCCTTTTGAGCATAGAGAAGAAAATCTAGGGCCAGATGACCACTCACTGGCCAGGAAACTCACGCCACGTAAGGCATACCTCCTCGCATATTCGCTCGAATTGTAATAATCAGAATAATCAAATTAAGGAAAAACCCAAACTCGCTAAGGATGCCTTGGAAAGGGCGGCGCTACAAATGGCATATTCAGATCTAGCCAAAATTTGCTTAGACTGTGACGGCCATCTTCCCGAGCATGGAGAAGAAATTTCAGGGCCAGATGACCACTCACTGGCCAGGAAACTGACGCCCTTTAGGGCATACCCCCTCACATAATCAGAATAATCAAATTAATGACAAAACAAAACTCGCTAAGGATGCCTTGGAAAGGGCGGCGCTACGAAAGGCTTTAACCAAAGGATAGAGCAAGCAAAAGTCTTACACTGTGGGGACATCCTTTTGAGCATAGAGAAGAAAATCTAGGGCCAGATGACCACTCACTGGCCAGGAAACTCACGCCACGTAAGGCATACCTCCTCGCATATTCGCTCGAATTGTAATAATCAGAATAATCAAATTAAGGAAAAACCCAAACTCGCTAAGGATGCCTTGGAAAGGGCGGCGCTACAAATGGCATATTCAGATCTAGCCAAAAGTTGCTTAGACTGTGACGGCCATCTTCCCGAGCATGGAGAAGAAATTTCAGGGCCAGATGACCACTCACTGGCCAGGAAACTGACGCCCTTTAGGGCATACCCCCTCACATATTCCCTTGAATTATAATAATCAGAAAAATCAACTTAAAGAAAAAACGAAACTCGCTAATGATGCCTCGGAAAGGGCGGCACAATGAATGGTTTAAACAATTGAGACCGGGTAAAAAGATGTGTTACGCTGTGAGGGCCTTCCTCCCGAGCATAAAAAAGAAATGTCAGGGCCAGATGAAAACTCACTGGCCAGAAAACTGACGCCGCGTAGGTGCATTCCCCATCATATATTCGATCGAAATCAACTTAAAGAAAAAACGAAACTCGCTAAGGATGCCTTGGAAAGGGCGGTGCTACGAATCGCTAATTCAGATCTGGCCCAAAGTTGCTTAGACTGTGACGGCCATCTTCCCGAGCATGGAGAAGAAATTTCAGGGCCAGATGACCACTCACTGGCCAGGAAACTGACGCCCTTTAGGGCATACCCCCTCACATAATCGCTCGAATAATCGCTCGAAATTTCAGGGCCAGATGACCATTCACTGGCGAGGAAACTGACGCCGTGTAGGGCATACCCCCTCACATAATCGCTCGAATTGTAATAATCAGAATAATCAAATTAATGACAAAACAAAACTCGCTAAGGATGCCTTGGAAAGGGCGGCGCTACGAAAGGCTTTAACCAAAGGATAGAGCCAGCAAAAGTCTTACACTGTGGGGACATCCTTTTGAGCATAGAGAAGAAAATCTAGGGCCAGATGACCACTCACTGGCCAGGAAACTCACGCCACGTAAGGCATACCTCCTCGCATATTCGCTCGAATTGTAATAATCAGAATAATCAAATTAAGGAAAAACCCAAACTCGCTAAGGATGCCTTGGAAAGGGCGGCGCTACAAATGGCATATTCAGATCTAGCCAAAAGTTGCTTAGACTGTGACGGCCATCTTCCCGAGCATGGAGAAGAAATTTCAGGGCCAGATGACCACTCACTGGCCAGGAAACTGACGCTGCGTAGGGCATACCCCCTCACATAATCGCTCGAATCGTAATAATCAGAATAATCAAATTAATGACAAAACAAAACTCGCTAAGGATGCCTTGGAAAGGGCGGCGCTACGAAAGGCTTTAACCAAAGAGGTAAGGCCAGCAAAAGTCTTAGACTGTGGGGACATCCTTTTGAGCATAGAGAAGAAAATCTAGGGCCAGATGACCACTCACTGGCCAGGAAACTCACGCCACGTAAGGCATACCTCCTCGCATATTCGCTCGAATTGTAATAATCAGAATAATCAAATTAAGGAAAAACCCAAACTCGCTAAGGATGCCTTGGAAAGGGCGGCGCTACAAAATGGCATATTCAGATCTAGCCAAAAGTTGCTTAGACTGTGACGGCCATCTTCCCGAGCATGGAGAAGAAATTTCAGGGCCAGATGACCACTCACTGGCCAGGAAACTGACGCTGCGTAGGGCATACCCCCTCACATAATCGCTCGAATCGTAATAATCAGAATAATCAAATTAATGACAAAACAAAACTCGCTAAGGATGCCTTGGAAAGGGCGGCGCTACGAAAGGCTTTAACCAAAGAGGTAAGGCCAGCAAAAGTCTTAGACTGTGGGGACATCCTTTTGAGCATAGAGAAGAAAATCTAGGGCCAGATGA